GCGCACTACAGCCGGTGCACCACGCTGATCTGAAGGCAGGAGCCAGGTGCTTCTCCTGGTCTCCATGGGGTGCAGGGCCCAAGCACTTGGGCCATCCTCCACTGCACTCCCGGGCCACAGCAGAGAGCTGGCCTGGAAGAGGGGCAACTGGGACAGAATCTGGTGCCCCGACCGGGACTAGAACCCGGTGTGCCGGTGCCGCAAGGCAGAGGATTAGCCTATTGAGCTGCGGTGCCGGCCTGTCTGTATGTTTTAATATTCAGTTATGTATAAAATTATATTTATGGGTGCTGGTGCCATAGCACAGCAGGTTAAAGACCCAGTCTGAAGCGTCAGCATCCCATTTGGGCTCCGGTTTGTGTCCCAGCTGCTCCACTTCCAATCCAGCTCTGTGTGGATCCAGCTGTGGCCTCAGGAAGGCAATGGAGGATGGCCCAGGTCCTTGAGCTCCTGCACCCATGTGAGATACCGGAAGAGGCTCTTGGCTCCTGGCTTCGTATCAGCTCAGCTCTAGCCATTAGGGGAGTAAACCAGTGGACTGAAGATCTCTCTCTCCCGCTGTCTTTCTCTCTATGTCTCTACCTCTCTCTGTAACTCAGCCTTTCAAATAAATAAAATAAATCTTTAAAAAAAACAGTTAGATTTATAATGTGAGAGATTATAGTAAATGAATATTAGAGGTACAAATAAGTGAATAATATACTTGGGAATTATGGAAAGTTACGAAGAAAGAAATTGGATAGAGTGAAGGGTTGGGTGAGTGGGTACTGTTGTTTTTGTTTGTTTGTTTGTTTGTTTTAAGATTTATCTGTTTATTTGAAAGAGCCACAAAGATAAACGGAAGACAGAGATCTTCTATCTGCTGGTTCACTCCCCAAATGGCCATGATGGCTGGAGCTGGGCCATTCCAAAGCCAGGAGCCAGGAGCCTCTTCCAGGTCTCCCACGTGGGTGCAGGGGCCCAAGTGCTTGGGCCGTCTTCCACTGCCTTCCCAGGCACATCAGCAGGGAACTGGATTGGAAGTAGAGCAGCCGGGACTCAAACCGGCACCCATGTAGGATGCTGTCGCTGCGCCAGTGCTGGCTCCGGGGTGCTGTTTGGACAGGGTGGTCAGGGAAGGCCTCTGAACAGGGCCCTCAGTGCAGGATCTGAGGGGAGTGCCCAGGCAGGCAGAACAGGTGGAGTTGAGGTGAGGGCCCAAGGCCACCTTGCTGTTAGGACTGGAGCAGAGTGCAGTGGCCCCGAATCAGGGCCTGGTGATGGAGGCCGTGAGGAGCTAGCGGGGGGGTGGGGGGGGTGGGCTCTGGATGTAACTGTAGCCAGGAGTAACAGGAGCTGTCCTCAGATTGTTGGACATGAGGGGAGAGGAAATAGAAGAATCAAAACTGGCATCTGGATTGCTCCCCTTGAGCAGCTGTGTAAATACAGTTTCTTTAAATGACAAGGAGAAAAGATGCAGTAAACACGCTGTGGTGCCTGAGTCTTCTCCTGATAGGCAGGACCAATAGGATCTGTAGAGATAAAGGAGAGATTTATTTGTTAAAATTAATTTTATTTACTTGAAGGGCAGAGTTACAGAGAGAGAGAGAGAAATCTTTGTCCATGGTTCTGCTCCCCAGGAGGCCACAGTGACGGGCTGGTCCAGGCTGAAGCCAGGTCTCTCGCCTGGGTGGCAGGGCCCATGCACTTGGGCCCTTTTCCTCTGCTTTCCCAAGCACATTGGCAGGAAGTTGGATCGGAAAGGAGCAGCCTTTACTCAGACTGGTACTTACGAAATGCCAGCGTTGCAGGAGGCTGTTTACCCTGCTGTGCCATGGTACTAGCCCTGAGTTTAAAAAAAAAAAAAAAAAAAGATTGATTTTATTTGAAATTGGGCCAGCGCTGTAGCACAGTGGGTTAACACCCTGGCCTGAAGCACCTGCATCCCATATGGGCACTGGTTCTAGTCCCAACTGCTCCACTTCCGATCCAGCTCTCTGCTGTGGCCTGGGAAGACAGTAGAAGATGGCCCAAATCCTTGGGCCCCTGCACCCATGTGGGAGACCCGGAAGAAGCTCCTGGCTCCCAGCTTCGGATCAGCGCAGCTCCGGCCGTTGCGGCCAACTGGGTAGTGAACCATCAATGGAAAACCTCTCTCTCTCTCCCTCTCCCTCTCCCCTCTCTGTGTAACTCTGACTTTCAAACAAATAAATAAATCTTTAAAAATAAGGAAGGAAGGAAGGCAAAGTCACAGAAAAAGAGAGAGAGAAAGATCTTCTTTTTGCTGTTTTACTGCCTAAATGGCCACAGCAGTTAGGACTGGGCCAGGCTAAAGCCAGGAGCCTGAGTCTCCATGCAGGTCTCCCGTGTGGGTGACAGGGACCCAACTATTTGGGCCATCTTCTGCTGCCTTCCCAGGTGCATTAACTGGGAGCTGGATCAGAAGTGAAGCAGCCAGGTCCAGAACCATCATTCGTATGGGATGCCAGCATCAGACAGCAGCTTAACCCACTGCATCCTGACGCTGGACCTGAGACATTAATTATAAGGACTTGATGTTTATGGTTATGGAGGCTGCCAAGGCCCAGGATCTGTGTTTGGCAAGCCTAGAGCCACAGGTTCAAGTCTGGAAGGCAAGAGAAAAGTCATGGCTCCGGCCTGCCCACATGGGGAGGGCAGTATGCTCACTCAGCTTGATGACTCTAAGTGATGAGCTCAGCCAGAGTCCACCTTGTGGGGACAGCCAGGACAGTGTTGGGCCACGTGTCTGAGCACCTCGTTGCCTCATGAAGTGGACACGTAAAATTCACCCTGTGGTGGGACACCAGGACTTCCATCCTATTCATATCAAATTTAAAGTAGCTTTTCCATATCCATATTGAGACAAGGAATAGATCAATCTGGCTGCAAGGAAATATCAGGATTAGAGATACTGATTGGAAATTCCGTGTACCAGGGTACTTCAAAATGTTCACAGTAAGTGGAATTTAAAAGATAAGTTTAATATGATTGCAAAAAAAAACTGAATCGCATAGATAGTTTTTCCATAATCCAGAGTTTCCATGGAGATTTGAAGATCTGTTTGTCGGTGGTACATGAGCTCCTTGTCATGCAGGAGTTCACTGACACTGGAGGTGGGCCCTGGCCTGAGCCCTGGGCATTCCGCATTGAGGAGATGAGAGTCTTCCCCGATGCCAGTCTCTCCTGACTGTGGCCGATACTTCTTACAGTTTCACCGCGGGTGCCCTATCAAGCCAGATCTTGGGACAAGTGGTAGCCCCGTCCTGACTGAATGGGTACTGTGGTACCAAGCGGCTGCCACTGCCTACTGCCTGTCAGAACCATGAGTTGTTCCCATTTACAGCCAAGACAGTATCTTGTTCAGAAGGAGCCGGACGCCTCCTTGCGAGTTGGCTTTGGGCAGCCACATAGCTTTTCCCTGCCGTGTGTGTCCTGTACCATGCTTGCGTTTGTTCTGAAGAATACATAGCAGTGATGCATCTAGCCACATGAGGTCGTCTGTACTGAGCAGTGAAGTGTTAAACCTGCGGGGTGAACTAGAGACAGAGATGATCCTGCCGGAGACGGAACAGGCCCAGTGCTCCTCAGCCCTGTCTGATGCTGATACCACGTGGCCACTCCCAGAGAAAGAAGAGGGGGAGCACACGGAGAAAGAGGGCAAGAGTGAAGGGCACGCGCACCCTGCGGTGTCTCTTCTCCCCCGATCTCCGGCAGACGCGGAGGCGCGGCCTAGCCTCAGTCGAGGTTCTGTGTTCCTGAAGCCTCTGCAACTCATTACCCTCTCACTCTCTCTCTCTGTGTTTTTAAATCTTTTAAGCTTCTTGCCTCGTTTTCTCTCCATGGAAGACTGGCGTGCCTTGCAAAACACGAGGGCTCTGCCGCATACTAGGAAGCTCGAGCAGCTGCCAGCCAGCGTTCCCTGTGGGTCCTGTTGATTTGCTCAGAACGGCTTCTTACATGCCATTTCTAAAACCTTTCGGGTCCTAGCACAGTGCATTTCGTGGCTCTTCCTGCCTTGCTTGGTCGCCCTCCTTCCTGGTCTCCTTTGTCATCGCCCCTCTTCTGCCGAGCGCCAAAGCAGGCGCCGCGGCCTCTCCATCGTCCTGGGTGACGGCTTTTCCCGTGGTCTGCTCTTCCCGATCTCAGCTAGACTTCTTTCCTGCGCTCCAGTCTCAGAACCTACTGCTCATTCCCCCCGTGGGATTGGGTTAGCTCAGTGACATTTCAGGTCTGTCATAGCCGACACAGAGCTTCTGACCCTTCCCTTCAACTTGCTGGTTTCTCTGGCCCAAACCCACTCGCCAGGAACCACGTGTGCCCACTTCAGAGCACGCCGAATCCCAGCCCTTCTCCCTCCCTCCTGTGCTCCATGCCTGTTCCCTCCGCCCTCGGCTGCCAGCTGGCTTGCTGCAAACGCTGCCCACAGAGCTCCCCGTGCCTGCGCCTGTCTCACTGCGGCCTCCCTCGGACCACAGCCAGGGTTCCTCACAGCAGGTCCGGCCCTGACGCTCCTCTGCCCAGGCCCGTCCTGGCTCCTCAGCCGACTAGATTTGAAGCTGCCTCTTTGTGCTGGCATGCGGGACCCCCGTGGTCCCCTGGCCTTCACACACTGCACAAGCACACATTGCCTTCCCACTCCTGTCCTCCGTCCCCATCGCCCCTTACCTTCTCACGTGTTAGGTAATTGACAGTGTCAGCTATCCGTGCCCTTGGCCAGGATGTGAGCTTGACCAGAACCTCTGGTGGCCACTGATTATCAAAAGTGCTGCCATGAAGCAGATACATTCAAAGACCCTTTGTGGATAGATGTTACATACGTGTCCATCTTTCTCTGTGGGTTTTAAGTATTCCTCTCAATCTTTAGGATTTTGGAGTCCTGATACTGTCTGGTCCAGAGTTCATATAGTCTCAAAGCAACAACTTGTCATGAATGTACCCACTGATTATTCTAGAGAACCTTGTCCGTGCGTGTGTGTGATTCTGTGACTTTCCTAACACAGGAGAATCCAGCTTTGGCGGTTGCAATTAAAACTTGCAAAAACTGCACCTCGGACAGCGTGAGAGAGAAATTTCTTCAAGAAGCCTGTAAGTTTCGAGAATTGCTGTGGAACTCCATTTGATTTTTCATCTTTGAAATCAAAATGTCTGTGAAGAAGTAAGGAAAATAACACTTCGACCTTTATGAGACCACTCCATATGTTGTTAGTTTGCTTTGTAGGTCGTCTGAGTTGGCACAGGCGCGTCTTGACATTTCCCAGGTAAATCCTGGTGTTCTGCGTGTAGACAGATTTGCTTTCCCTTTACACTTTGCTGCCTGTACCAGGAGGCACCTTTGTGCTGGGGCTGGTGGCCAGGTATAAACGGTCCTGGTCCTGGGAATACAGGGGTGAGCCAGACCAGTTCTTCCTGCCCTGCTGGAGCTCACAGACAGCTGAGGGAGTAAGCACTCGCGCCCTAGGCCCCTACAGAGCCAGAAATGCCCACTCAAGAGGAGGCCTCAGAAGAGACTCCCCGAGTCACTCCAGGGAACTTTAGCCGTCTCCCTGGCTCCTGGTTTGTGCATCCCGAGAAGCAGCTGTCATGGGTGAGTTGAATGCGATGACGTCTTCTCTCCTCACTGTACGTGCTGGAGAACAAGGCTGCGTGTGCCCTCTTACACCCATGATGCTCTTCCCTCCTGGCCTCAAGCAGTGAGGCTTCTGCTCTCTGGGGGCCTCGGCGTAGATGTCACTTCCTTGCGGGGCCCTTTACTGAGCCCGCAGTCAGAGGAGGCTCCCTCCCTGTCTCTGTCACAGGACAGCCTTCTTTCCCTTCCCCAGCACCACAGTAAACACAGTGTCTACTAATGACAGTGGCACTGAGCTCCACGGACAAGGGCTGCCTGCTCTGCCCACCCCTGCACACCCAGGGCCCGTACCATGCTGAGCACTCAGTAGGCCTGTTGTCACTAGGCGTCCTGTATTACATGACATCAGATGAACACCTTCTACCGAGCCTAACAGTACAGTAGATTTTACTACCACATAGAAGGTCTTGTGGACCTTGGTCTTAGGACGAATTAGGACCTAACTGTATTTTCAGTCCTGTTCCTGAATCTGACTCAAGTGCAAGACAAAGCCTGGTAGTGCCTTGTTTGTGTTTATCCTTTTAAGGTATAGTTACTTGAAAGGCAGAGCGACAGAGGGAGCAACAGAGAAAGAAAGAAATCTTGAACCCACTGTCCATAACAGCTAGGACTGGGCCAGCCTGAAGCCAGGAGCAAGGAACTCCATCCAGGTTTCCCATGTGTGAGCAAGGACCCAAGCACTTGGGCCATCTTCTGCTCCTTCCCAGACATGTTAGCAGAGACCTGGGTCAGAAGCCAAGGAGCCAGGACTCCAAATGGCACTCTGATTCGGCGTCTCTAGTGGCAGCTTAACCTATTATGCCATAAAACCTACACCACTTCCAATGCTGTTTCTACAAAGCGTGTAGGTTCAAAAAACACAGACCTCAGCAGTGATTGGTACCTGTCTGCTGCCATACCATTGGTGGGATTCTTGTATGTTATATATTTTCAAAAATGCAAGTTTTAAAAATCTTTATCTTCTACAGTTATTCTGAATAGCTGCTGTATTGTTATTTTGTAGGATTCTGGAATCATCAATACAGAACCAATTATATAGTAGGAGTAGTTAGGTCAGGCTAAGCTTATTTTGTTCTTTAAGGCTTAGTCAGCTACAATTTCAGGTAAGTGTGATAGATTTAGTATCTCTGAACTTCTTCTAGACTTTCACAGTCTATGCACAAGAGAGGCAGTATCGCCTCAAAGTGGCCTACTTTGGGGATTGTCGGGCTTTTTCTGTAAGGGGCGATGTAGTGAGTACCTCTGGCTCTGCAGGCCGTACGTCTCTGCTGTGCTGTGCTGTGGAGACACCCATGGGCAGGATCAAAGCAGAGAGCAAGGCTGTGCCAGTAAGACTTCATGTCCAGAAGCAGGTGGCTGCGCCGGGCTCAGCCTCCTCTAGACAGGAGCAGGTGCTCATGCCTCCGCTGGACAGTTCTCTGTGACCATGGGACTTCTCTTAGCACTCTGCTGGTGTTGTTAGTAGTCCTTTCAGAGGAAATAAAAAATACCTGACCACATCAAACTAAATACAAAACTAAAAAATATCACTAATAGTAAATTGAAAATAAAGGTAAATATATTGGGGGCCTGATGTTTATCACAGTATGCTTAAGCAGTGAATCTGACAAATGAAATTAATTATTTTATTTTGATTTTTTATGCTGGGTATTTACATTTTTCCTTTTTAGAAAAAAAGATGTATTTATTTGAAAAGCAGAGTTAAAGAGGTATCTTCTATCTGCTGATTCACTTTGGAAACAGCCCAGACAGCCAGAGCTGGGCTAGGCCACTGGAGTTCTGTCAAGGCCTCCTGTGTGGGTGCAGGAGCCCAAGCACTCGGGCCGTCTTCTGCTGCTTTCCCAGACACATTAGCCAGGTGCTGGATTGTAAGTGGAGCAGCCGAGACACAAATGGCACCTGTATATGGGCTGCTGGTGTTAGACGGCGGCGGAACCTCCTGAGCCACATGCCAGCCCCACTGTTTCTCCTTTTGGTTTAAAGAAAACCTGGCAGCCTATTCTTAGTAGGAGGGAGTGTAACAAAGAAACCGGAACTCAAGGGTTAGGGGCTTGAGGTGAGTGAGGGAGGCGGGTGGTCGTTGGGAGCTGACAGTTCTGTGGTTCCCAGAATGAGGGCAGAGACCACTACTTCCAGGCCCATCTCACAGGGTTCCATGCTTGAAATGGGCATCTCTGACACAGATCCACGCAGCAGCAGTGAGCCTTGCAGAGAAGACACCGGAAGAGTGAGAGTGTGGCCCTCAGGTTTCCCAAGACCTTCACCTGGAAGTCATTCTGAATGTTTTTTATTTTCGCAGAAGAATAAGCAGGAAAAAATATAAAATAAATTAATAATGTTATTAGTTAGTCAGGAGCCAGTATGAGTTACACTGATGTCAAGGGAGAATTCCATACACGTAAAGGGGAGAAGAAATTCTGAAGTGAATTTTAAAGTGCAAAAATATATTTTGGTTTGCTCACATATAGCTAAGTTGCGTTCTCACAGATAAGGATGAGTGTGCATTGTTGGCAGTTTGTCACAGCTGAGGAGGTGTGAGGCAGATGAGTGAGCGAGGAGGAGGACCTGTGGTCTTGCACAGTGTCCCTTGACGTTGTTTTATAACCCAGTGATCACCTTACATGTTGAGGACAGGAGGAGGAGCTCTCTGCTGGCAGTCCCTGTGTGGCATGATGACTTTTCCCGCTCAGTGTCTGGGAAACCAGGAGCCTTTGGGACCACCACTTAGGTCACCTTTAGAGTCACTCCAGTGTTGAGGTCCCGTGCTTCTGGGAAGGTTGCCCCAAATCTTAGCAGTGCTTGCATCTTAGTCTGATACAGAAGCTGTATTTACACACAGCACCACAGTGAGATGCCCTCCTTGTGAGACACAGAAGGCAGCGTAAGGCACTCTGTACGTGGTGGTCCTCACACCGTCCCAGAACTCGTCATCTGTAAGGCCCTGAAAGCATCCAGGCCACGGTGCTGTGTGCAGACCTGCTTAGAGTCAAGCTGCAAACCCCTTGAGCGAGCCTCGTGGATGTAGGGGACAGGCCCAGTCACTGAGGTCCCCGCGCCCCAGGAAGCCCCTCGTCTGGCTTCCTTCCCTGCAGCGTACCAGTTGATAGAACGCTGCCTACTAAGTGCGTTCCACACTCCGCCTTTCCCGATCCCCAGAGGAAGCTGAGAACACCAGCCCAAAGTCCAGTTTGACCAGAGTGGGAAACTTCTCTTAACCCTTTATTCACAGCATGATCTCCCTGGGAAATGGCTGAAGCGTTTACTGTGCCGGTTATCTTGTGCCTCACCAATGTGATGCGCCTTTTGTGCTCATTTATGCCAGTTTAGAATTGACTTCCGGAGTTGAGTTCAGAGTTCCCATAGCCTCAGCTTTGGACGTCGATTGAACTAATGTTGAGATGCGGAAACTTTCCAAAGAGTAACTGGACAACCTTCCCCCTAGTGACCATGCGGCAGTTCGACCATCCTCACATCGTGAAGCTCGTTGGAGTCATCACGGAGAATCCCGTCTGGATAATCATGGAGCTGTGCACGCTGGGAGAGGTACTGTGACCTGCGGGCCTCCCCTGCCCTCGGCACGGCCGCGCCAGCAGCCTCCTGCTTCAGAGCGCTGTGGCATGCAGCTGGCGCTGGATTCTGCCTGAGGAGAAGTGCACAGTGTGCCTCTTGTGGCTCCAGGCGAGGTCTGCTTTGGGATGGATGTTGTGCTTTTGGTCAATGAGTATGGGTGTGAGTGTCTTTCTTCATCGTTAAATCCCCATATACCCTCCTCACTCAACGCCGCCAGGACCAGTGTCTGTCAGGACTGAGTGCACACTGCTTTTTTCTCTCTGGGCCAACATCTGAAGAACTAGCTCAGTGGTTTCAGGATGAAAGAAGCGATGGTGGTGGAGTTCGGGCTAATTAATTTAGTTAAATCTAACCAGTTCTTAATCTTTTTGAGAATTCGGTTTGTAATATATTCCAGACCAGCTGATAATTAGTCACAGTTTCTTTGGAATAGTGAGTAAGAGTTCGCAAAGCCCTCTCTGACTGTCTCCAGCAGGAACTCGTAGACAGTGCAGCAGCATCCCCTGGAATCTTGGTGGAAATGTGCCCTGGTGCCTCGCCCCCACCTGCTGAGTCAGACCTCCAGCCAGAGACATCCCATCTCCTCTGCCCTGCACCTCCAAACCAGATGGAGTGTGGAGTGTCTGTGTATCTTGTTCACAGTATTTTTCTACATTTGCTTTTGGAAAGTTGGCTTATTATTCTGGTTTAAAAACCCATTGCTAAGTATTTTTCCTTTGTTGAGTTATTTTTGTAGGATTAGGGTATTGATAAATTCTCGTCTCCTTTTTTTTTTTTGCCATGTCAGCATTGAGCTTGAGGTGTCAGGGGTGGAAGGGACAAGCAAGCCCAGTGGGATAGGTACCTGGCATGTACTGTGTCACGGTTCTGCTCCTAAACCTGCACTGCGGGGGACTCTGCTTTCTCGTCCTCCGCCTTAAATTACCTCACTCCCCTCCCAGAGACACAGTGAGGCTTGGAGTGGGAATCAACTGACTGTGATTGGGTATGAAGCTAACCTGAATGGCAGCTAGATCTTTTTGTTTTGTAACTAGTATTATCTAGCAATACTTTTTAAAAAATGTTTATTTGCAAAACAGTGACACAGAGAGAGAGGATTCTTTCCTTCTCCAGTTAGCTTTCCAGATGCTCACAACACCCAGAGCATTTGGGGCCAGGTCCAAGGTGAGAGCCGGCAAGTCCAGGTCTCCTTCGTGGATGACAGGAACCCAAGGACTTGGGCCACCATCTGCTGCCTGCTAGGGTGCGCATTAGCAGGAAGCTGGGTGGGAAGTGGAGGTGTGACCCCACGCCTGGGGTCTGCTAAGGGCGTGGGCACCCGCGTGGCCGCCTGCCCTGTGCACCTCAGTCCCCCTGGCAGCGGGACTTCATACTATGCTTTTATTCGCTCTCTTGAAGCCTATTTTCCCTGTAATTTTTCAAGAAATTTGTCTATAAAGATTCTAATTTTACATTAGGATTTCAAATAAAGTAAGATATCTATAATTTCTGAATTAAACTGTTCCATTCATTATTACACTTTTTTGTTTTGAGAGAATTAAAGCCATTCCACTGCAAAAATGTGTGTCAAACGGCTAGCATTGTTAATTGCAGCTTTGTTGCTGTTCATTTCTTGCCTGTTTCTGATTCTCTTCTCTATTTTGGACGTTGTTCCCAAAGCTGCGGTCATTTCTGCAAGTCAGGAAATTCAGTCTGGATCTGGCATCCTTGATCCTGTATGCTTATCAGCTTAGCACAGCTCTTGCGTATCTTGAGAGCAAAAGGTTTGTACACAGGTAAGGTTCAGTCAAAGCTGTTATGAAGTGGGTAGACAAAAAGCAAGGGAGGAGGGTTCCCTCCTATCCCAGTGGACCCCTTTGTGCCACGTGAAGCTACCATGCAGTCACTGGAGAGTCCTGCCGTGCCACCCCTCCTAGAGGGAAGGCCGTGGCTTGCTGACTCTCAGGAGACTTGCTCCTTGTACAAATGCTCTCGAGAACCTGTACCTCCCCAGAGCAGAGATGGTCCTTGGATTCTCCAGGACACCACAGTGTTGTTCACGAGTGACATCTGTTGGTGGTCTGTGGAATTTCTCTTCCTGGTGTATGCAGCCGTGGTTTGAATACAAGTGAAGGAACTTAAAATTTGTTTGCCAAGTAGAATGTGTTGGGATTAGTGTTTTGGTACCCAGTGCTAAAACAGACTACATCAGCAAAATAATTCGCAGGTGTTTAGCAGATAACTTACTTCACTCAGTGAGATCTCTTTAGTAATTAGCAAAGTTGGAACCCACTTGCGTGTTACTAGCCATCAGTTAATGAAATTGAAAATATGATTTTTATAAAAACTAGTAAGTATTTTTACTAGAGAATGTTTTGCCATCATTTAAAATCATAACGTGCATTAATGAGTAAATATTTGCCAAAAGGAATACATACGAGGTAAAAAAAAATACACATTTTCTAAAACTAGAGTAGACCCGTTTGTGTTGTATGTAAGCTGTCCTTCAAGTACCTGTCAGTGTGTTCTTAATTCATAAATTCTTCCCCACGCAGGGACATTGCTGCTCGGAATGTTCTAGTGTCCTCAAACGACTGTGTGAAATTAGGAGACTTCGGACTGTCGCGATATATGGAAGACAGTACTTACTACAAAGGTAAGCGGAGCTACTCCTGAGCTGTGTGTATCTGTAGCTCTGTAAGAAGTCTGTTCTGGCGTGCTTTCCCGAGGTGTGAAATGCAGACGGCCCCTCAGCACGTGGTGCCAGGGCAGTCGGAGATCCTCCACAAATCCTCGCTCCAGTTATCTCAACATGGATCCTGAAACACAGAACCACCCAACTTCTGGGGAAGAAACTCAGGGGTAAATCTTTGGGATCCAGGGCTGGCAAAGGGTCCTTAGATTTGACATCAAAAACAAAGGAAAGAAAATGATAAATTGCACATGCAGATTAATGTTTGTTCTACAAAGACTGTGTGACCAGCCTCTCGTTGCTGTGATGGACTAGCGGAGGCAGCTTGGCCGGCCGTCTGGTGGCAGCAGTGGGTGGCAGTGTGGCGCATGCTCAGGAGGGTGCAGCGCTGCTTCCAGAGCCAGCGTCTGGTGGGGAGCACCACCTCCTGAGGTCACACACCCGTGGCCCCAGAACCCCCACCAAGCCCCCCTCCCGAACACCATCACTGACTGAACGTCTGCCCCTTAGCACCGTTCATGACACATTGGGGTTTAAACAGCTGCGTGAGTTTGGAGGGTAAATAGCATTCAGTTTGTGGCAGAACCTGTTAAAAAGATGAAAAGCTATGGAGCAGGAAGAAAGATTTGCCAACCACGTTTGTGACAAAGGACAGGTTGCTAGAGCATAGAACTCTGGACAGTAAAGAAAACAAAGAATACACTAAGCCAATGAGCCAAATCAGAACATCTGAAATAAAAAATAGTGACAGCACCCAGTGTTGGCAGAGAGGTGAAGTCATACACCGCTTGTGGAACTGGAAAATGCTAGAGTCCCTCCGGAAACGGGCTTGGCAGATTGTTCCCCCACACCACCGGCAGCCCTCTCAAGTACCCTCTCAGCTACTGCTTCGGCTCTGTCCGGTGCGTCGGCACCCACTGGGTACCTGTTCTACAAACACATTCTGAGTATACAGGTTGAGCAGCCCTAATCCGAAAAACTGCAGGCTGAAACACGTCTGGTCTCAGGCATTTCAGTTAAGGGATAGCGAACCTGGACTTACATTTCCTTTTGTCTTATTAATTCATGTGTTTACTTGGAAGGCTCCCAGCCACTGGTTCACTCCCCTGAATGCCCACACCAGCCAGGGCTGAGGGCTGGGCTGGGCTGGGCTGAGAGAAGCTGGGAGTCAGGGAGTCCGTCTGTGCCTCCTACATCTCTTTGCCTCCCTGTGTCCACATTAGCACGAACCTGGAATCTGGAGCAGAGCTGGGACCTTGACCCAGGTTCCCGGATGTGAGCTGGGGAGCCCCGGCCAGCGTCCCAACCGCCAGGCCAAATGCCTGTCCCTGTACTTCTGTTTACCTTTTAGCGTGAGAATTCCTTGAGGAAGAGCGCCTGGGCTGTTCACCTGCAGCACTCAGCAGTTGAAGGGCTGTTCAGTTAGGCCGTGAATAGTTTGCCTTTGGTGTGTAAAAGGAAGTTTTAGGCCTCTGTAGAGGGGTGATGCCAGTATTTCCTTAAAAAGGAGCCTTTCTGGGTGGGTACTTGGCATATCGGTAACCTCCACTTGGAGTGCCTGGGTTTGAGTCATAGTTCTGCTTCCAGTCCAGATTACTGCTCCTGCACACCAAGCGGCAGCAGGTGTGATGGGTCCCTCCTGCCCGTGTGGGAGACCGGGATGCAGCTCCAGGCTTCTGGCTTCAGCTGGCTCAGCCTGACTGTTGCAGGCATTTGGGGAGTGGACCAGTGCAGAGATCCGTGTCTCTGTCTCTTTCTGGGGTGTGTGTGTGTGTGTGTGTGTCTGCCTTTCAGATAAGAATGAATAAAGCTTGTTAAAAGAAGCAGCCCTCTGTGTTGTCTCCCTTACCTGGTCTGCAGACACTGCTGAGGATATAGTTAGCCCTCATTATGCATGGGTTCCATATGTGTTCACATTCGTCTTTAGCCCCTGAAATTAGTACTCGGTACTTTTGCGATCATTCAGGGACATGTACAGCACAGCAGAAAAATTGTCTCTCTGCTGCACGAGGTGCCAAGTGAGATCCAGCCATGGGACGTTCTCCCTCGTGGCTCAGCGAGGGGCAGGGCAGCAGAAGAGTATTTGATTCCTCACTCTGTTAGCGGGGCAGCCTCAGGCCAGACACTTAACCTGTCCGAGCCTCGTTTCATGAAGGAAATAGAGCCTGCAGGAATGGGTGTGCAGGGTCTGGGATGATGGTCTGTGTGGGGTCCGTGTACTGAGTACCGAGCTGCAGTGGGAGCCTGGTTCCGTGCTCAGGGCAGCTTTGTGGAACGGTAACTCGCACCGGGGAGAATCGAGGATCTGGCCCCGGTGGACGGGAGGGGGACGGGGGCTCAGGGCAGCCCCACATAATGGAGCTGCAGGCCAGCTCCTCTGCTTTCCCAGGGTTCACTCTGCCCGTGCAGAAGGAAACATCAGTGTTAATTCCCTGGCCCCAGTCCAACCACCCAGCACCCTCCATGACATGAGACACCCAGGAGAGGACACACGATTCTCCCAACCACGTGGCGAGCGCATACTTCACGTAGAGCTTTGATTCTGATACTGAAGCATCTCAGCTAACTCTTCCAGTCTTCAGCGGGTGGCAGGGAAAATTTATTTTCTAACATTAATCTTCTAGCTTCCAAAGGAAAATTGCCTATTAAGTGGATGGCTCCAGAGTCCATCAATTTTCGACGTTTTACCTCAGCTAGTGACGTGTGGATGTTTGGTGAGTATTTTTTAAAGCTTGGTGTTTTTTAACAAATGTATTCCTTGTATCCCACAGGGTAACTAAGCACTGTCTCTTTCAGAGTGTGTAGCTGGTCTGCTCCCCTAGCCCATCTCCTCCACCTCACGTCTCTGGCCTCCTCTGACGGTGTCAGAGCGCACTCGGGTCTTGTGCTCCAGCCTCCAGCCGTGTGTTCCGCTGTTCTGGGCTCCCCCTGTGTTTCCGTCTTTCGTGCTCCTCTCTCCTTGGCTGTCTGGTTCAGTCCTTTAGTGTCAGTGACTTTGAGTAGTGAACCTGTGCCCCTGGCTCTGTGACAGGCCCTTCTCAGAGTATCTCGAGTTGTGCCTCATCACTTTATCCTGGAATCGGACCTCCTGGCTTGGCGGTTTGCCCGCTGTCTTTTGTAGCACCTGCTTCTCTGCTCTCTGCTTTGTCCCCGCCTGCTTGCTCAGCTGGGTGTCCTCTCTCTGTGTGTGGACTTCGGTGGAAGTGTGGCTCCAGCTCGCTTCATCCCCGTTTCAGAATGGCGTACTCTCTGATATGGGAGATGTGTCTGCTCGTCCCCACCTCTGCTGGTACACCCCCTGCCTGCAACCCCTTACTCTTAGACTGCTTCTGCAGCTGAAACCTTGTCCAGCCTTCCAGGTTCACCTGGAGCATGCCTCTTCCAGGGGGCCTGCGCCGCAGGGCTGGAGGTGAGCTCGCTTCCTCTGCGTTCCCTGCTCTCCTCTGCGTGTTGGTCGTGGGTGCGTGTTCTCTCTGCTGGATTAGAAACCTCGTGTGTCGAGAGACAGCTTTGGAGTTTATCTTCCTCTTTCCTCCTGTAAATAAAAACCACTTTATGTATTAAGTATTCTGTTTGTGTGCTGTTGATGTTTAGTGACCATTCAGTGCTCCAACTGATAATCAGGTACAGGAGATAACTTGCCAGTAATACGAGAAGCAGCAGTGAGAAAAGACTTTGGAGCCCTTTTGATGTGGTTTTAAATCCAAGGCTTTGCTTATTAGCTGTGTAGCCTACAGGCAAGAAACCTGGGCTCTCAAGGAAACTCCGATGCTTCCGAGGTGCTGAGATGTGGACTCTGTTCGCAGGGACACAGCCAGCGCAGCTGTGTCTCTACAGTGACTGCTCAGGGTGCGTTTTATGTAGCTGTCCTTGCTTGTACTACTGCGCACTGTAACTGTTCTGTTCATATGGTTATTCTAATGTCCAGATGACTTTAATAGAGCTCTTTGGGTAAGAATAAAATTTAAAATTCTAAGAGTGAGAAAAGATCACATCTTAACGTAGTTGACGGTATTCCCCACCCCACCTTTGTCACGTAAAATAAGTTTCCTGCAGTTAGCATCATGATAGTAAAATACAGCATGTGAAGACGTGAGGCTGCTGTGAGGATTGAGGTAACGTGAGTTTCATAAAAAGGGTGCCATGGGTATATTAAGTTCTCAGGAAATGATTACCAGTGTTATTACTTAATAGTACTTAGTACTGGGCTTTCTGCCCCAAAGCATTATTTTTGTCAGAGACTCTTTGCCTTAAAAGTATTGGATTTCTGACCTATTTCATAATCTAAGTTGCACAGATGTGTTGATGTGGCTTGTGTTCCTTGAAGGCAGATACCACTCTGGGTGCTGCAGATAGAAAACAAAGCCACAGTCTCTCTCGTCGAGGCACTGGTTGTGCAACGCGAGTCTTAGGCTAGGCGATAGCTTCCTGGAGGCGAAGCAAGAGAAGCAGCACGCAAGGACCGCCCACAGATGTGGCTGGGACGAGGCGGGGTGTGCTGAATGCAGCGCCTGGACACAGGCAGGGGCGTGTCTGTGGCATGTTTTGACGTGACAAGAAGTCCAGAGGCCAGAGTGGCGACTGGGAGATACTGGGAGAAAATCCCACTGCCTACTTTCACCATTGCCTTTTTGTTGTGATATTATATTGATCACAGTTTTAGGTTTTTTTTTTCTTGTTTGTGTATGTGTTTTTTAAAATATTAGTTATTGATTTCAAAGGAGGGAAGCAGAGGAGATTCACTGCCCAAGTGGTCACCAGAGCCAGGGCTGGGCCAGGCCAAAGCCAGGAGCTTCTTGCAGGTCTCCCACGTGGGTGCAGGGGCCCAGGCACTTGGGCCATCTTCCACTGCTTTCCCAGATGCATTAGCAGGGAGCTGGATCAGAAGTGGAGCAGTCAGGACTTGAACCAGCACCCATGTGATGTGGGATGCTGGTTGTGATGTTATGGCACACACCCACCCCAGTTTGTTTTAAAGGTAGTTCCTTTTTTTTTTTTTTTTTTTTTTTTTTTTAGATTTATTTGTTTGTTTATTTGAAAGAGTTACACAGAGAGAGAGAAGAGGCAGAGAGAGAGGTCTGTATCTGCTGGTTCACTCCCCGCACCACTGCAGCAGCTGGAGCTGTGCTGATCTGAAGCCAGGAGCCAGGAGCCAGGAACCTCTTCTGAGTCTCCCATGTGGGTGCAGGGACCCAAACACCTGAGCCATCTTCCCCTGCTTTCCCAGGCCATAGAAAAGAGCTGGATTGGAAGTGGAGCAGCCGGGGCTCGATGCAGCGCCCATATGGGATTCCAGCACTGTGGGCGGTGGCCCCAGAGGCAGCTTCTTAATAAGGTTATTTAGAAGATGGTGAGGAAGTGATTCGCTGAGGGTGGGTGCCCGTGGAGACTCTGAGGTCATGGTGCGGCGTTCGCCGCCTAGATAACTGTACTAGTGTGCTGCCTGTGGGAGGGCGGGGCTAACTGGGGTGAGCACGTGCGAGTGCCTAGGTGCACCTGAGGCAGGGACAGGCTGGCCTTTCTAGAGGGAGCCTCTTGAGGGATCCTGCATGAGTCTTGTAAAAGCGTAAGAGTTAAGTTTCACTCCCGCTCCCCCACCCCCCGGTTCGGCTTCAGATCAGCTACTGTAATAGGCTGCACTAAAGTGGAGGGGAACCTAGAGTCCATGCAGTGTATTTTGTAGCTGGGGCTTGAAGCCACGCAGTACCACGGTAGCTGGTGTCCATCTTCTCAAAGGAGATTTTCAGCTGCACAAACGTTGTGATAACATAGGAGAGTCTGGGTGGAGTGAACTGGCCATGTCTCTGGGTGCTGATCGCTGCAGATCTCCGGCCGGCACGCCGCGCCAGCTGGGAGGCACGGGCGCTCCGGACGCTCACTCACTGTGCTGTTTTCGTTCCTGCTTCACAGGTGTATGTGTGTGGGAGATACTGATGCATGGTGTGAAGCCTTTTCAAGGAGTGAAGAACAATGATGTGATCGGTCGCATTGAAAATGGGGAAAGATTACCAATGCCTCCAAATTGTCCTCCCACCCTCTACAGCCTTATGACGAAATGCTGGGCCTATGACCCCAGCAGGCGGCCCAGGTTCACTGAGCTTAAAGCTCAGCTCAGGTAGGAGTGGGGGTGGAGAGGGCCTGGGCTGGGGGCAGACTGTGCTGCTTCTCCTGTCTGGTCTTAGCTTGTGAGACCATTTTATCAGTGTGTCCACAGCTCAACTGACTCGTCTTGTGCAAACACACTTACTTTTAAAATTGATTTGCGTTTCTCTGTACGTTGCTGGAGTCTGGGGTGAGTTGTATCTGAACATAAAGCTCCAGTTATGATGAGGTGTGTCTCCCCCGGCCTCTGAGTTAGCACGGCTCGTGAGACCCGCACTAGCCTCTGCAGTCTCCTCCCTCAGCCCCTCCTCTCCCTGACACTCTGCTCCTGTCACTCTCCTGTGCAGCCCGCTGCTGTGCTCTCTCCTCGCGATGCTTTCCCCGACTTTGCCACCTGGTAAACTGCTGTGCAGCCTTCGGAAACCAGCTCAGATGTTACCCCCTTCTGGCGCCTCCTCATCCACCCTGCCCCCGGAGCAGTAGCCTGTCCTCGGGCACCCTCTCAGTACTTCCATTGCCGTGTTTTAAGTACCTGGTGTATGTTCATGTGCCCTTTTGTGGGTGCTGCTTTATCATCAGCACCATTCAGCCCCAGACCTCTAGTATCTCCCAGTTCCCTGGGAGCACCCAACACCCAGGGAGCTCCCAGGTGCTGCGTCCCTCTGAGCAGTCTGCAGCAACTGCCGTGCCACCCGGCCAACAGGCTGTCCTGTGCTGGCTGTGTGCCAGACTCCGCCCGGAGCTCCCGACTGATGGCCTGCGCGCTCACTGCTGAGCCCGTTTCTGAGCAGAGGGCCTGTAGGTGCCCAGTTAGCTTCTGTGCAGTTGAATTGAATTAATACTTTGGTAAACGAGATTTAACGTCATCCGTAGGCTTGAGGAGCTTGGCTTGGTTCAGTGTGCGCGGTTCCACCTGTTTTTGTATTTGGTATTTCCCTCATTTTATGTGAATCTGATTTGTTGGTTTGTTTTTTTGGCTTACTGTATTTTAGTCTTTTTTCATTTAAAAAATCTTAAAAATTGCAAATATCAGCCTCCATAAGACCCTGAAAACTCAATCTAGCCCAGCCTTCTCAGCCAGTGCCCAAGCCATCTTGAAGCTTCGCTGCGTCTTCCAGCCATTCAGCCTGCTAGACAAGCATTCTTACAAAGAGTATCTCAAGGAAGAAGTAAACCTAGGTAGAAGTATAAGAGATTCATCAGGTCAACAAACACTTACTAAGTATCTTCTTAGTTCTAAGCTAGGTTCTGGAAGAGACCCAATCCATGCCCACAGGGGGTCTGAAGTCTGTTGGAGGAGACCAAGGTGTCTGGTGACAGGCAGTGCCATGAGCACCACACCTGTAAGAGCAGCTAGCTCTGGTCGCCATCACTTCACTTCCCAGGATCCAGTAGGGCAGCTCTGTTCTGCTTGTGCCGTGACAGACCTCCGAGGATTCCTAGACAGCCGTCCTACCTCATCTCGCTTTGCTTCAAGTTGCAAGTCTGTAGTTTAATTGCCTCTCATACAAGTCAATTACCTAGTTTCTTACTATTAAACAGCTAATTTTTGGACATACTTTTCCTATTTTGCTTATAGGTGTTTCTTTGGTGGTTGTTCTTTGATCTTTCTCCCCTATTGGGTTCCAGTGGTATCAGCTCCTTCCCTGATCTCCCCTGGCTGCTCTTGCAGTTGCCCAGTCTAAACCCAACGTGGGCCCTCACCTCCTCCCTTCCCCGGTCCTGCTCCCGTGCGCCCTCACCTCCTCCCTTCCCCGGTCCTGCTCCCGGGCTGTCCCTCACCTCCTCCCTTCCCCGGTCCTGCTCCCGGGCTGTCCCTCACCTCCTCCCTTCCCCAGTCCTGCTCCCGGGCTGTCCCTCACCTCCTCTTCCCCGGTCCTGCTCCCGGGCTGTCCCTCACCTCCTCCCTTCCCCGGTCCTGCTCCCGGGCTGTCCCTCACCTCCTCTTCCCCGGTCCTGCTCCCATGCGCCCTCACCTCCTCTCTTCCCCGGTCCTGCTCCCGGGCTGTCCCTCACCTCCTCCCTTCCCCGGTCCTGCTCCCGGGCTGTCCCTCACCTCCTCTTCCCCGGTCCTGCTCCCATGCGCCCTCACCTCCTCTCTTCCCCGGTCCTGCTCCCGGGCTGTCCCTCACCTCCTCCCTTCCCCGGTCCTGCTCCCATGCGCCCTCACCTCCTCTCTTCCCCGGTCCTGCTCCCGGGCTGTCCCTCACCTCCTCCCTTCCCCGGTCCTGCTCCCGGGCTGTCCCTCACCTCCTCTTCCCCGGTCCTGCTCCCAGGCTGTCCCTCACCTCCTCCCTTCCCCGGTCCTGCTCCCGGGCTGTCCCTCACCTCCTCTTCCCCGGTCCTGCTCCCATGCGCCCTCACCTCCTCTCTTCCCCGGTCCTGCTCCCGGGCTGTCCCTCACCTCCTCTTCCCCGGTCCTGCTCCCATGCGCCCTCACCTCCTCTCTTCCCCGGTCCTGCTCCCGGGCTGTCCCTCACCTCCTCTTCCCCGGTCCTGCTCCCATGCGCCCTCACCTCCTCCCTTCCCCAGTCCTGCTCCCGTGCGCCCTCACCTCCTCCCTTCCCCGGTCCTGCTCCCGGGCTGTCCCCCTTTCTGGGCTGTGCTCCTCCCCTGAGTGGCTGCAGCTTCAGTCCTTCCCTGTCTCACAAGTCCCAAGCCTCTGACCCAGGGCGCCAGCTGAACCCGATCTTTATCTGGAAGGCAAAGCTGTGGCCCTCAGCTCCTGCGGGGCAGAAGGAGCCTTGTACTCCACCGATGGTGGAGTCTGCCTTTGGCCCTTGCCTTCCTCTCCCATCTGTCTGGCATGGCCCCGTAGTCCGTCTTTCTGAAACATCGCTATGTAAAAAGTCCTTCCCTGCTAAAGCAGCATTCAGTGGGTTCCTCGTGCCCCTTGTGCTTGGTAGAGGTTCCCAGCGTGGCTGGGAGGCCGCCTCTGTGTGGCTGAAGCAGAGTTCTTGCTGTCCTTTCACACACTATGCTCAGAGCGTGCAGTGCCTCACTCGCCACCTGTGCAGGTCCGGCCCGTCTTTCTCCACTGCCTCCACGCACTGGCTCTTCCGTGATTCATGGCTGCCTTGCTCTGCCCGAGTCTCCCCAGCTCCCTGCCCTTCTCGTCTCCTTTAGGCTGCATCCTACTTAGAGTTCAGTTCGACCAGCACTGTTGAGTCCTGCAGTTGCTGAGCCTGGTGTCAGTCCCTGGACAAAGACGCCTGAGCCACTGTTCCTGCCCTCGAGGAGCTCACAGTCTAGTATGTCTCATCCCCTACTAGACTGAAGCTCCTTGAGGACAGGGATCGTCCTCCTCACCTCAGTGCTGCCCGCACCCCAGGCCAGGCCTGGGCCCTGGCACTGGAGTCATAGCCTGGAGCATACAAGCTCATTTTAACATTGATCTCAGGACTATGCCATTGAGGTAAATCAGCTCCAAACACCAGCTGTCCCAGGCATTGCTATGAATAGGTGTACATTAGTTTAGAAATGTACCCATACCATCATTCATGGGGCCTTCCTGTGCAGGTGCTGCAGGTATCCCACCTTGTTCTGTTGTAGTCAGAAATGGAGTTCAACTTAGCATTTGGAACGTTTCATACTATGGCTGCCAAATAGGCCATGAAACTTACCTCTATAATAGTTTGCTTGTACATTTTCATGATAATTAAATAGGTTCTTTCGTTGATTTTTTCAAAATTTGTATTATACCCAGAATTTCACATGGAATAAATTTTGGATACCCTTATGCATAGCAGAGTAGTTGAAATGTCTCCCGGATCTCACTCTCTTCCATCCTAAAGAAAACACCACAAGGGACTCACTGCTCTGGGACTCTGCTCGTCTCTAACTGGACTCTGCGTTTGTTTCTTGCTGCATTAGTTGAGAAAAGTGACTTTCAGGATGAAACTTGGGAGGCAAAATCACGGGAAAGTTACTTAGGTCACATTTTCATGAGTTGATTTCTGTGACTCAGAGAGCCTGTCTTCCTCACCTCCTGTTTCCTGTTCATAGGTATGAAGTCATGGCAAAATAGGGGGTTAATCTGTAGGTGGGTAGCCTGGCATCGCCTGTAAAAAATTCCTCTCTAGGAATATCGTAAGTGATCAGTAGTCAATATTTCTCATAATATGTGCTATAGCACTTTTGTGCTTTATGACTGGCAGGTTGTTAAGAATGCATTGAATCTTTTTTTTTTTTTTTAATAAAAAATCATCTAATACCTGGTTAAATTTAGTCAATTCTCTGTTAGGTACCATGTCAAGAAAACAGCTTTAGGCTGGCGCTGTGGCTCACTAGGCTAATCCTCCACCTGTGGCACTGGCACACCGGGTTCTAGTCCCGGTTGGGGCGCCAGATTCTGTCCCGGTTGCTCCTCTTCCAGGCCAGCTCTCTGCTGTGGCCCGGGAGTGCAGTGGAGGATGGCCCAGGTCCTTGGGCCCTGCACCCGCCTGGGAGACCAGGAGGAAGCACCTGGCTCCTGGCTTCAGATCAGTGCAGCGCGCCTGCCACAACACGCTGTAGCGGCCACTTGGGGGGTGAACCAATGGAAAAAGGAAGACCTTTCCCTCTGTCTCTCTCTCTCTCTCTCTTTGTCTAACTCTGCCTGTCAAAAAAAAGAAAAGAAAAGAAAACAGCTTTAGTATTTACTCTTTTGTAATTTATGTTCAAGCATATCATTTCTTTTTTTAAAAAAGATTTATTTATTTGAATATTTATTTATTTGAAATTTATTTATTTGAAAGAGTTATACAGAGAGAGAAGGAGAGGCAGAGAGAGAGAGAGAGAGAGAGAGAGGTCTTCCATCCGCTGGTTCACGCCACAACTGGCCGCAACTGCTGGAGCTGCACTGATGTGGAGCCAGGAGCCAGGAGCTTCCTCTAGGTCTCCACGTGGGTGCAAGTCCTTGGGCCATCTTCTGCTGCTTTCCCAGGCCATAGCAGAGAGCTGGATTGGAAGTGGAGCAGCCAGGTCTTGAACCGGCGCCCATATGGGATGCTAGCACTGCAGGCGGCAGCTGTC